ATCACAAAATGAAGGTTATAATTATTGGTCCTCAGGGTCACAGTTAACAAAAAAAACACAAATAAAAAGTATGGCAGGCGATGTCAGGTTCAACCCATTTTCTAGAGCTTTTGAGACTTTGGCTCCCCGACTAATGGGTTTGGGTTTCCTGAATGTGTATCGTCTTTCTTTTGTCTCAATGTTCTCGCTTTTCCCCTCAGTATATGTATGGGTTTCTTCTGCATTCTCTCCTTTCCCCTCTGTACATGCAAGGGGCTCTTCCTCAGTTTTGATGAGTTCCCTATTTCGCCTGTACTGCTGTCCCGCTTCCACTATGTTTGACCGTGGCTCAGGTGTTGGTTCTACTATTTTAGCTGGTCTCCATTGCTTACCTTCCCTTAACCTCACTGTGTCTCCTGGGCTGAGGGCGGGTAGCATGCGCGATCCTCTGTCATAGTAGTGTTTCTCACTGTCGTGGTTGATCCTCATTCTATCCCGTACCCCATCTATTGTTCTTGGTTCAAGCAGTTTTTTTGCTGTGGGCAGTGTTGTCTTTGTTCTGCGGCCCATAAGCAGCTGTGCGGGTGAGGGTAATCCCTCCTGAGGCGTATTTCGGTAGTCCAGGAGGGCGAGGTGCGGGTTTGTTGGTCAGCTTTGGCTTTCTTTAGAAGGTTTTTTGCTATCTGCACTGCCTTTTCGGCCTTCCCATTGGATTGGGGGTATGTGGGAGATGATGTGGTATGTTTGAATCCATATTCCTTGCTGAATGTCTTGAATTCGTCGGAAGAATACTGTGTGCCATTGTCAGAGCAGCGTTCATCAGGTATGCCGTGTTGGGAGAACTGCTGTTTGCAGATGTTGATGACTGCTTGGCTTGTTGTGGGGTTTAGTTTGTTTAACTCTATGAAGTTCAAATAGTAGTCAGCCAGGACGTGGTAGTGTTCTCCATTGAGTTCGAATATATCGGTGGCTACTTTTGCCATGGCGTTTCCGGTATGTCATGTCCAATCAGGGGTTCCTTTTGTTTTGCCTTCTGTATGTGTTACATATGCCACATTTTGAGACTGTGTCAGTTATCTGTGCTTGCATCCCTTGTCAGAATATGATATCTCTTGCTAGCCTCTTTGTTTTCTCAATTCCTTGGTGGCTGGAGTGTACTTTCTTTAGCATCATTCTTCTCATGGTGTTTGGTATCACTAGTTTGTTGCCTCTGAATATTAGTCCATCTTCTACTGTCATCTCACTCTTTTAGTCCCAGTACACTTTGGCCTCGTCTGGTGTATCTGATTTTTTTGTCTGTCCAGCCTTGGAGGATGAACTTTTTTACTACTGTGAAGGTTGGATCCTTCTCCGTTTCAGTGCGTATTTCCTGGAGTCTATCGGGTGCTATGGGTAAGCACATTACTGCACACACTTGTACATCATCGTTATTTTAATTTTCGTCTGTCTCTTTTAGAAAGTTCCTGCTCAGGGCATCAGCCACGTATAGTTCCTTTCCTTTTTTGTATTTCACGGTCATGTTGTATTTCTGGAGCCTGAGTAGCATTTTCTGAAGTCTTAGCGGGGCCTCAGCCAATGGCTTTTTCATTATGGCTTCCAATGGCTTGTGATCCCTTTCAATTTCGAATGCGCGTCCGAACAAATACTGGTAAAACTTTTCACATCCAAACATTATAGCGGCCAGCTCCTTTTCTATTTGAGCGTATCTTTTTTGTGTGTTGGTGAAGGCCTTTGATGCGTACGCTACGGGGCATTCATCTTGAAAAAGTACAGCTCCTATTCCATAACTAGAGGCATTCACGCTTAGTTTAATTGGCTTTGATGCGTCGTAGTATTTTAGTATTGGACCTTCTGTGACCATCTCCTGCAGCTTCTCGAAGCTCCTGTCTTGTTCCTCCATCCAGCTCCATTCTGTCGTCTTTTCTAACAGCGTTCTGAGTGGGGCAGTTACAGTGGATAGATGTGGTATGAATTTTCCTAGGTATGTTATCATCCCTAGATATATCTGTAATTCAGTCTTGTTCGTGGGTTTTTGCAGTTTCTTGACTGCCTCCATTTTCTTGGGGTCTGGCTTAAGTCCTTCTGCTGTCAAGATGTGCCCCATGTATTTCACTTCTTGTACTGCGAATGTGCATTTTTCTGGGTTGAGTTTGATGTTCTTTTCTCTCAATCGTTCCAATACCCTTTTCAGCCTCTGGTTGTGTTGTTCTTCATTTGTCCCCCATACGAGGATGTCATCAACGATTACCTCTACTCCCTCCATGTCCTCAAACACTTCCGTCATGAGTCTTTGAAATATTTCCCCAGCTGTATTTATTCCGAATGGTAGCCTTTTGTATGCGTAGCGACCGAAAGGGGTGTTGAAGGTGCACAGCACTGAGCTTTCTTTTTCCACCTTGACCTGCCAGTATCCACATTGAGCATCCAGCGTGCTGAATACCTTTGGTCCTGGCATCCGAGCCATCACCTCTTCAATCGTCCTCATAGGGTAATGTTCCCTTTCGATAGCGGCATTTAGGTCTTTGGGGTCCATGCATATCCGGATTTTCTGTTTTTCTGGTTTCCAGACTGTGACCATGCTGCTTACCCACTGCCTGGGTTCTGTTACCTTCTCAGTGACGTCCAGGTATTCCATCCTCCTCAGTTCTGCCTTTATTTTGTCTCTCAATGCAACGGGGACCTTCCTCGGAGCGTGAATGATCGGCTGCGTGTCTGCTCTGATCTTGATGTGCTGTTCTCCTTCAAAGCAGCCCAGTATCAAATATGTCCGCATACTTCTCCTGTATATCCTGACTTGGGTGTGTTTTTACCTCACTAATCCGTTTTATGAGGCCAAGGCGTACACAGGTTGTTAACCCTAGTAGTGGTGTTGCAGTCCGATTTAGAATTTCGAATTCGACATGATGGAGTCGTCCCTTGTATTCTGTCAACAGCTGGCATTTTCCTACTGGCTTTAAACATTGTCCTCCATAAGTCACTAGCTTTGTTTTAGATTTCACTAGTTGTGCACCGGTCTGTCTGTGGATCGATTCTGGTATGACATTGCATTGAGCCCCCGTGTCTATTTTGAATCTTACTGTCCTGTCATTTATTATGAGGTCCACTTCCCAGTCATCATCATTGTTTGATTTCACCATGTCTATGAACATTTCTTCCGCGTCTGAATCGGACTGTTCTTCTACCATGTGTACTGGCTTTTTTGTTGAGTATGACAATGCGCTGAACACGCACTTGCTCGAAAAGTGATTTATTTTTCCGCAGCTTTTGCATTTTTCTCCATAGGCGGGACATTTTCCTCTCTGGTGGTCTCTTCCACAGTATTTACAGTCCTGAATCGTGTTATGCCTGCGTGATGTAACAGATGGCAGTTGAGATTTTTTCCCGCACTCCTTTTTGACTTCATTGACAGTGCACTCAGCTTGTGGTGTTTGTAATTTGGCCAGTTGCATGTGGCTGGCCTCTGCAGCATGACATATGGAGATAGCTTTGGGTAAGTCTAAGTCTGCTGTTCTCAACAACTTTGCCCTTAGTTGGTCATCCCTTATTCCCACGACAATTCGATCTTTCATTAAGCTGTCACATAATGGTCCGAACTCACATGACCTTGCCTTTGTTCTCAAGTCTGTAACGAACTGGTCTATGTCCTCACCGGGGGCCTGTATACGAGTGTTGAACTCGTGTCTCTCAAAAGTCACATTCCTGTGGGGGGTAAAATGTTCGTCGAATTTCTCCAATAGTATTTTGAGCTTAAATCTGTCCTCCTGCTGCATGAATTCAAAGGTATTGTATATTTCTAGAGCTTCGTCCCCGATGACGTGCAGTAACGTGCTGCTCTGTACTTTCTGAGACTTTGGTTCAGTGCCTGCAGCAGTCATGTAAAGTTCGAATTTTTGTTTCCATTTTTTCCAGTTATCAGCAATATCTCCTTCCAACATTAGGGGGTCCGGTGCTTTTAGCGCTTCCATTTCTGGCGAAGATTAATACCGTTTCTGACACCATGCAATGAAATGCGACTTGCTACAACGAGTTAGCAACTGCTTTAATGAGAGCGAACAACCTGTAATTCGTTGTTAAAATGAGAAACATTGAAAGCGCGACAGCGCCCTCTTGTGACCTATATATCATTACAGATGAGATCAAAATTTCCTCCGCAGGGTGGCTGGGCGCTCCCTTAGAAGGTGAGGAGCTCAGTCACACGGGAGGAGCTCAGAGTAGAGCCGCTGCTCCTCCATGTCGAGAGGGGCAAGTTGAGGTGGCTCGGGCATCTGTTCCGGATGCCTCCTGGACGCCTCCCTCGGGAGGTGTTCCGGGCATGTCCCACCGGGAGGAGGCCCCGGGGAAGACCCAGGACACGCTGGCGGGACTATGTCTCTCGGCTGGCCTGGGAACGCCTCGGGGTTCCCCCGGAGGAGCTGGAGGACGTGTCTGAGGTGAAGAAAGTCTGGGAGTCCCTGCTTAGACTGCTGCCCCGCGACCCGGCCCCGGATAAACGGAAGAAAATGGATGGATGGATGGATGGATGGATAGTGTGCGCGCGTGCGCGGGCTTACAGCTGCGCGGGTGCGTGAGAGGGGCTCACGTGCACGCCGAGTGTTCTGAACACAAACTCGGTCAGTTCTGTCATGGCTCACACAAAATTCTATATTCCTGGTGCCTCTGGTGTGTACTTGCATCGCGGGGCTATGGAGCTGTTTTACTGTCACATACATAACTTTTTCCCGCACTCCGCTTGCCTGTAATGAGGCAAAGTTTACAGACATTACCCACACTGGCAGTGCTTTTAAATGCCACAGCGGTCACAGATTGGTTCAGATGCCGACACCATATATGTATGTGACGCCCACAAAGTGTAGTCACATTGTTTTTATTTAATGTAATGAAATTCTGTATATAAAGAATAGTGGTGTTTTAGTTTTGGGAAGCAATTGCAATTTCAATTTTGTCCATCAGATGGCAGAGCATGCGGTGAGACGGTTTGGGGGCGCTCTGGCCTCTGTTTCCTGTTACTCGGCGGTAGCAGAAAGCAGAGGCCACAGCTAATAACGGCTGTGTCCCAATCCATGGTCTCAATTCGAGGGCTGCAGCCCTGCAGACTCCGAAGGCTGGTTTTAATGCCGCATACGTCACTTCCGGTGAAACAAGGCCTGTCCCATTTCATTTTTATGTCATGCAGCCTTCAAATGCAGCCCTAAAACCGGCCACGTTTCCATGGAGATGGGGCCGCGAACGGACACATCCGAGTATCCTTCGCAGCCTTCAGTATCCCAGCATGCACTGCGCGGCGGCAGTCAGATGTTCGAAAACACGGAGCGACAACACGGAGCAAAAAGCCCGTCCGGAGAGCGGAGAAAAACATGTGAGTAACATTTTTAACTTTAGGAAATCATTACTAACACAACTGTAAACGTAAAATACGACCATAACTCCAACAAAACTGTCAAGTAAATTTGTTTTTAACTGCGTGAACCGCGGAGTTTTGAGCTAAAGTTTGCCTAGTAATGTGCAGCTAATGCGATGAAAAGTCCGCTCAAACTGTCATATTTGGACAGATTTCCATCAAACACTCATCATGTTTTTACTGTTAGGGGAAAAGAAGCCCACAGAGTGATTTAAAGAAGCTACGAGGAGAAAACTCCACGTTTTCACGGACAGTGTAAACATGTAAACAGTTGGTCAGTGTAGCTCGGAGTTAAGATGAAAACACGCATTATTTCATACATTCAACTGAAAAGACTCAGTTTGACTCTATCAAAGCTCATATTTACTTTTAAATCACATAATATAAACCTCCAGCGTGTGCATTTAATTCAGGGAATACATTATCTGCGTTTAACAATCCGTGCATGTTTGTAAAGTGAAAAGTAAATAATCCTGTCTGGACAGGTCAGATTTATGATGGACATGAGGCTCATTGAACAGATTTGTGCAGACACTGGTGTAGATACGACCTGACTGTCTGTTAAGTCTGTTACATCTAATGTTATAACAATGAGAAATCTGTTTTACATGAATTTTCTTTTCTCATCTGCAGCCTCCAGTATGAGGACACAGCACACTGCAGGGGCCACAGAACTGTTGGCTGGCAAGATGCTTGTGATTCATAAAATGGGTCAAATGCAGATGACAAAGTAAAGGCCACACTGAGCTGGAGGTGCTGACCCAGACTCCTGCCAACGATTACGTATGGGGCATGTTACATTGAAAATTCTACTAATAATAAGAGCTGCAAATGAATCATGCTCATGTTGAAATTATGATTTAAATTGTGAAAATATGTATTTCTCAAATGTGTGGGATTCCTCTATTCATTTAGCTGTTTCAGATGTAAACTGCCTTTGAATCTGAATGTACATCAAAGTTTAAGTTCAACGTTAAAAAACGTTCATTGTCAATTCTTCATACAAAAAACATATAAAGAATTGTTTTTCTCACTCCCTTGCATATAAATAATAATAAATGTAAATAGTGCGGAGGGAGTCCAGGTGTTCTTTGGGGCTGCATGCTCTGTGAAACTTATTTTCCTCTAATAGTTTTGTAGTTTTCTTAATGTGTGTGTCATTACAGGTTTTCACTCTGCAGGACAGAACTTTGAATCAATCAGACGTAACGCACATTCTGCTCTTCCTCCTCCAGAAGACGAGAGACACATCAGACTGAGTGGTCCAAGTCCACTGTCCATGTCTCCAATGTCCATGTCCAGAGTCTCTGAGGAGGAGGTCCAGAGTCTTATATGACCTTAACAAGTGTGTGAGACAGAAATGAAAACATCTGCTCATACATTTTTCTGAATGTTTTTCAGCCTGTACTGACATTTGATTTATGGTGAAATGTGCCGTTTATTTGGTGTCTCTTTTGATAGTAACTAATTACATGTACTATTGTACTGCAGATAAGCAGTGGTATTCTACATGATCATATGTGACAAAGATAATGTGTTCATTTTTGATTGCGTTCCCTTTTTGCTGAAGCAAGTGACAATGAGATTTATTGACATACAGCTGTTTGTACTAACCTGTTAATGCAGTGTGAGTGTGTGTGAGTGTGTGATGGGTTTAATATTTGACTTCATATTATGATAAAGTATTTCCAGAAGTTCCTTGGATTGTTTAATAAACCATCTTTTCTCAGGAGAGATGTCTTTCTTTCTTTACAAACGTATGTAAATGTAATCCCTGGTCAATATAAAATCCTTAATAATGATAATATTTAGTAAAGCAAATTTATCACAGTTTTTTTTTTTTAAACTTTATTATAATTTAGTCTAAGATGTATCCCTTAAATATAGCCGTTTTGTTTTGCAAAAGTTAAACATACATTTTCGCCCTAAGATTTGGATGCGAATTATTAAAATATTTTGGTCACAAAATCCGACAGTTTAATGATCTGTGCGTATTCTTTTTACTGATCCGTGTGCGTAATCTGCGCGGAGCGTGTTAGCATTAGCATTAGCGGTAGCAGCGTCCCTCGATTGCTGGGCGGCGGGGGAGTGTCTCCGAGGGCTAGACCTGTCCCATTTCCACAATGGCCTGGCGTCCGCGGAGGCCAGTTCAAGGGCTGCAGCCTTCGCGGCCGACGAAGGACCCAGCCTTCGGAGGCTGCAGCCCTTTGAATTGGGACACAGCCTCCGTCTCCATTTGTTTATTTCAGGTTGGTACAGTCCCAAAATCACAATACGGACCCATATGAAGTCATATAAACATGCAACTTTAAGTTCAAACAAAGCTACAGTTATAAAAGTTGTGTCACAGTCAATATGCTAACCTGCTAGAGTTAAGTCATTTTATGACATCTTTGAATTGGAGATCAACTGTAAAATTAAGATTACATAATAAATACTATCTATGAATAGTCAGGGTTTTGTTTACCAAGAAAATTAGAGACTTGGACTGAAAGAGTAATTTTTATGTAAATTGTAACTTATTGTTTTGTACATCAGTATAATTAAAGTTACTCGACGGTAGCAGAAAGCAGAAGCCACAGCTAATAACGTCTCCGTCTCCATTTGTTTATTTCAGAACCAATCTCTCACCACACAAATATTTTAAACTGCCAGCAGTGATTGTGCCGGCCCAATACCTACTACATGTACTTGTACCGTCCCATTTCAGCCTTCAGCAACGAAGTACAGCCCCACCTGGACACGCCCCCTCTTTAACACTTGCACTCGTTTTGCACTAGTTCGATTGGGGGCAAGGTCGGGCCCTAGGTTTCTTAAATCTGGAGAAAACTAGTCTGATTGAACAACAGCATTTAGTGTCATTAGTCATTAGTGTCATAAAATTCATTGTATTGATCTGAAGTAATCTACTATATAACATACTTTACCATGACCCCAGCAACACTAACTTTCTGTAAGCAGCACATCACCTGGAAGATTTCATGGAATATGGAGTATGGATAATTCTCCATGAAAAGTTTTGCCATACTAATAGTATACCTATAGTAAAACCATTTATGTGTAACTAACCACCAAACAGCTCTGTTATCACAGGGATAATACATTTTAATAAATGAGTTAGAACAATGTGTTAACCAGTGTTACTTGGGTTGTATGCCCGGACATCAGGTCTGCGTGTGTGAATAAAACGACCTCCATTGTTATTGCAATGTAAAGTATACAGTTTTATTGGCATTGGAATAATTTGAACTACCCTGCACTCCCACTCTATTTGATACAGAGACTGGTCTCTAATGGTCTTCTCTCAGTGGAGACAGAATTATGCTGTAGTCTCCTGTCCATTTCTCCACCTGGGGTCTGCAGCAACAGAGCCTGTTGTGTGCTTGGGTTCATATTTTACCTTGCCTTACTTTAAGTAATCTATTGGTTTATGTTGGGTAGGAACTTCAACTAGAGTAGACTGTAGGCACTGGTTCGGGTGTAAAGCTGTCACTGCTCTGGGGTGTCGACCAGAACACCTCTTAAGGCCCAGATGAATACTCAGTAGGAGGAGGAAATGAGGAGACAAATGGTGGCGTTCAGGCTCTTGTATTTGACATAAGGAGGTACACATTGATGGGGTTGAACATGAGTAGTATGCATATGGGTGTGTGGTTTCTAGGAATAAACAGAAATAAAACATTCAATTACTAATTGTAATAAACAACAAACATACAATCAAACAGTAATAGGAAACTAAAACACATAATAATAAGGTACAAACTTACTGCAGTCATAAACGCACACTTCCAAAAAACAATCTGCTAATCTAAAGTAAACTCCATTTTACAGGAACCACGTTTTCCCCAGTCACAATTTAGGCAAAATAGGAGGTCAGTGCGCCCTGTAGTGGACCCTCCACAGATTACAACAAACAAGAAAACTAACAAGAACTTAGAACTTAAAGGGCCTTTTGTACAGTTTATATTGCCTTTGTTGGATCCTAGGCTCTTCTAGTTATTTTATTTTCATATGGGGTTTTAACTTGGGAAGAAATGTAAACTTTCTTTAGTCAACCCCTGGGTGGCTGTGGCGTTTTTATGTGGACTCTAAAGCAATGTGTTAGTATGAGCTATGAGGAGAATCACGGGCCCATCTGGTGTGAAAAAAGTGTTGGCTTTGGCAGTCTGCCTTGGCTTCTATGACCTCACTTTATTTCAGCTGATGGTCTTTAGAGTTGTGCAAATAGATCAACATTATGTACCCCAACTCAAATACAGATATTTATAAAAACCCTTGGCCACTACCTTGACAGTTTTATAAATTCATATTTCATACTCACAGCTTAGGTGTCAATGCTGTGACACAAAACAAAAATCAAAAACACGAATCTACAAAACCGCAGTTTTTTTATTCGGAGTAAAACATTGTTTCTGGGCTGTTTTAAAACAATGGCGCCACCTTGTGTTTCAAAATAAATATAGGCTAGACTACTAGACAGGCAGCACAAACAGAATATAAAGGAAAGCATCTCTATTTATGTGTTAAAAATAAATAAATAGGCTACATTCATTTAACCTTTGAGCGAACAGAAATCACAGCGAGTTTGGATTGCCTCAGAAGCTATAAACAGCGTAAAATGCTGTTATTATTATCCAATCAAAGACCGCTCCGTGTATCCTCGTAGCCAATAGGAATACATCTTCATTTTGGCTTGGACCAATCATGTTGTATCATGCTTTTACGTCCTGACCGGGGAAAGTTGATGTTTTTTTGCTTATCACAGCTACCGCGGAAGGAGAAACGCAACATTTGGATATTTCTGTTTTGTCGACCTTCTTCCAGACAGTTTAAGAACAGTGAAAACTAAAAGCTGAATTGTCATTAAAATGCAGTACTACAAAGCCAGTGCTGTTATGGCATCTGTCCTCCGGCAGTGCTAGCAGGTGAAATGAGAGCACGTTAGCCGAGGATGGAGGCTTTAACCCGGGGTCCACCATGGCAGCTCTGACCGTGTGGCGTTACACCAGCGGCCGTGTTCTGGGTGGCTGGGGGCCGTTGTTGTGCGTTTTGATCGGTTCTCTTGTGGGCCTCCTGATGCCCCTGGTGGGAGTAGACGACAAGTGTTGCGCTGCACTAAAAGGAATTGCTCACTTGCGCTGTCAGCTTTGGGGTAGACCCCCACCTCCTGCTACTGTCCAGTCCACGAGCCTGACGATCCCTTTCACTGCTCTGGACCTGCTGCCTCAGAGGAGCAAGCCCAGCAATGGTGACGTGTCCTCCTGTATATCTGTGTTTCTCTGTAGTGCATGATCAGTATAGAGCAAAAGGACTTGATGTAGGGCATCGCTGAATCAAATTTCATGCTGACATTTGCATTTTGTTTTCACAGATATGGTGCTTGAGGCCAAAGCAGCTCTCCAGCAGGCTCAGGAGATGAAAAAGGCTGGGAAAAGGGAAAAGGCTCATAAGCTCCTTGTGCATGCTTTAAGTATGAATCCAGATTTTGTGGAAGCCCTAACAGAGCTGGGAACTATACTGGAAGAGGAAAAGGATGTCATCCAGGCAGACCACCTCTACACTAAAGCACTGGCGATTTCTCCATGTAATGAGCGAGCTCTAATCAGCCGTGACCGAACTCTTCCCTTGGTGGAGGAGATTGACCAGCGTCACTTCAGCATTATTGACAGTAAAGTACGGAGACTTATGTCCATCCCTAAAGGTAACTCTGCTCTGAGGCGAGTAATGGAGGAGACCTACTACCATCACATTTATCACACTGTAGCCATAGAAGGCAGCACTCTCACTTTGTCTGAGATTCGTCACATCATTGAGACTCGATACGCTGTGCCAGGGAAGAGCCTCCAGGAGCAGAATGAGGCAATTGGTGTAGATGTGGCTATGAAGTACATCAACACAACGCTCTTATCCAGGACTGGCCCCATCGCAGTGCATGACATTCTTGAGATTCACAGGCGTGTGCTGGGTTTTGTGGATCCTGTAGAGGGCGGTAGGCTGCGCACCAGTCAGGTGTTTGTTGGACATCACATCCCCCCCCATCCACAGGACCTTCAGAGGCACATGCAGGAGCTAGTGCAGTGGCTCAACTCTGAGGAGGCACTGCAGCTTCATCCGGTGGAGTATGCTGCCCTCGCACACTACAAACTAGTGTACGTACACCCATTTGTAGATGGCAATGGACGCACATCTCGACTACTTATGAACTTAGTTCTCATGAAATCTAGGTACCCACCTATTACCATTCGCAAAGAGCAAAGAGCTGAATACTATGCAGCATTGGATACTGCAAATGAAGGGGATGTCCGGCCTTTCATTCGTTTCATAGCCAAATGCACAGAAATAACATTGGACACTCTGTTGATTTCTACAACAGAACATGCAGTTGGGCTGCCAGGGACCAGCCAGCATCCAGTCTGTTTGGACTGCAAGCAAACCATTCCTGTCCACTGAGTCCTTGACAACTTTTCTGCACATTATAATGTCATGCGCATTTGTTTTTAAAGAAAGTCTTAATATATTTTTTGAATTTATAATTTTGTCCATTTTGTCTTTCCTAATGCCTGGGGAACTGGGACCAAGCCAATATTGTCACTTTAGATTTATTTATTAGCCAAATCTTTGCTGACTACATAGGGTGTATGTGTCATTTGCTGTAATGCTTTATATTGATGAAAACAAAACATAATCGTGTGAAAATACCTACAGCCTTTTAATATTTTACTGCCTGGAAAAGAGACTTAATGTAGACTAAATTAAGTAAACTTTAAAAAAAAATTAAGCCAAGATCACATCATTTCTTAATATTACATATATTATGTAATCACAAAACATATGGGAATATATACATCATTTTCATAACCCTTATTATCAAATGTATCATCTTCCAAAAATCAGTATTGGTTTGGCCCTAATTTTAACTGCTGAATTAAAATGGGAAAACTTCACATTACTGTTCTTTAGTTTGTTATATTAAAAATTTCAGCTCTTCTGTTTTGGCTATTTGAGTTTATAATGTTTTCAAGCCACATACATTGTTCAGTACAGTCTGAATTACACGGATGGATAACTCTTGTAGATACAGTATATTTTATTTAACAATTGATTCACTGCAGATTATAAGAAGGGAAATGAGATTGCCATTTCCTAAAACTTCAGCCAATATTGACTATAATAGATATACTGTCCATACAGAACATCTGAAAGTTATTTTTGAGGCTATTAGGGTGGAATACCAAAATGTCATATACATCTGTATTTTTAAACAAAGCTTTTTTTTTTTTTTAAATGTGATTTATCCTAGTCAAAGCCTCATCAAGGGCAAAACCAGTTCATGACGGATTCATTGCATAGACTGAGATAGAACCACAAGGTTCTTACATAGGTGATAATTGAGTTGTTGTGAAAAGACAGGCCCTTTTTAATTAATCCAAATAAAATTTGTTGAATGGTCACCATCACCATAATTGTAATGTAGATACATGAATTAAGTGTATTGAAACAACCTCAGCATTTCATGGAAATTGCATAAAATAGTTGGGGATTTGATGTAGTACTAATCAATAATGGTGTGCTAAAAATGATCTAGAAAAAACTCGTTCACTGTAGTACAGTGTTACACAACAATGGCATTTATCATTTCAAAAATCAACCACAGAGTTGAAGGTTTAAAAATATACTTAACGGTTTCTGACAACTCTCTTTCACAACACAAAAAGACAGAATTTTAGTTACAATATTATTTACACTTGAAATATAATACAGTTAAAATTTTCACAGCAATACACAACAAACTTAACACAGTTGTAATTTAGAGGATGCTGTCAGCAATTAAGGCAATTTGCAGTAGATTATAATCTACTACTGTATTAAAGGGAAGGTGGGTGCCAATTACAGAACTACTCAAATGCTAATCTAAGGACACAGGATGGCTTTCAAGATGACTCATGTCATTTATTGAGAAGCATTCTGGCAAAGTCTGCATTGGACAAAGGTTTTGTATCAGTGGCCGTGTTTGTTGCTGCAGCGGACTGTGCTGAAGTCCCATTCTCCACTTTGTTCTCAGACCCACTTTGACGATTTAGGGAACGTGGAAGTAATGAAAGCTGAGTTCGTCCTTTACCCCTCCTTTGAGATAAGTATTATGATTAGAGCACTGAAAAGTAACACAATCTAATTTTACAAATAAACTTACGATCCATGAAACTGACGAGGCATCATGTCTGTGGACAGACGACTGGAACTAGGCTTGTCCATAGCATTTCTGCGAGGAGGGTTACTAATGGCAACAGAAATTCTGTTGCCTTCGACTTCCATGCCATCCAGTTTTAGAACTGCCTGGGAAGCCTGGCTTTCATTTGCAAACTCAACATATGCTAGTCCCTAGAAAAAAGTAGGAACTTTTATAGTTACAAATGCAATTTTTTTCCACTTAAATGAAAATAACATGATATAGTCACAGCTATACCTTTGGTTTTCCTGAGCGATAGGTTACTAGACGGACTTCTTTGACACTCCCGTGACTTTGGCAGATTTCCTCCAGTAGTTTTTTAGTGCAAGAGAATGGCAGCCCAGAAATAAATATTTTATGTTTTTCCATTGATGTGTTATATTTGAAGACCTGTCAAACAAGAAATTAATGGTATGAATGACCCAGTACAATCAAAACACGGCTATGTGTACGATTATTTACCTTAAAGTCTGGGTTTTTACTTTTGTCAACACAGGGGGATACGAACATAGGTCGGCCTTCCACTTCTTTCCTATCTAGTTTAAGTGCTTCAGGTACAGACACTTGAGATTCAAACTGTACATATCCATATCCTTTGAAGCCCCCCTTATTGTTGAAAACTGGACGTATTTGCTTAATGGGACCACAGGAGTCAAACACTATCCTGAGTTTAGCCTCTGGCTCCTCCAGTGTATATGCCAAGTTACTGATGAATATACTGCAGTTGTCATTACGCAATTCAGGTTGGTGCTCTCTTTGAGCAGTAGCCATTGCACCTTCTGTTTTGGTCCCCCGTGAAACTTTCTTAAAGCCAGGAGGAGCAGTCTTCCCAAAGAGTCCTGTCTCAGTTTCCATCAACTCCTCACTCATCTGGTCACCGTTTCCCTTGTGCCTTTTGGGGCCTTGTTCTAAAACAGTAATAATTAAATGCAATGTTCAACAAACTCTTATAACAAACTACACAGTATGTAGTACATACCCAAGTCTTCATTCCATTCATTAGCATAATCATCTTGCTCAACCTTCCTCTTCTCTCCGACACAAACTCCTTTTTGGATTTTTTTCTGTGCCTTCTTTTCAGCTTTTGCTTTCCGTCGCTGCTGTGTTCTCTCTTCTTCCAGTCGAGCAATATTAGCTTCTTTTTCAGCCACCTAAAAGTAGGTCACAACATTGTGAAGTTAGTCAACCCCATGTAAATTTAGAAACAATGGGCAAGTTATACACTTGAAGGAACACTGTGCTTTTACCTTTACACGTTGCTCATTTATCCTATTTAGCTTGGTCTCTGTCTTTTGTACGGCTACATCCCAGTCCTCCAAAGACCCTGTAAACGACAGCACACAGCACAACTATCAATTATTATCAATCATTGATTTTATAGTATTATAGGGGTAAATTCCACGCCAAATCTCCGAATGCCCCTACCCGACCATCTCAGATTTTACTGAAAAAAATTCTAGGAGATTCACACTTTCCAATAGGAAAAGTCCCAAATTTTAGCTCCCAACTTCTTATAGTTTTATCATTAAAAAATATTTTGTCAACTCCCCGACCTGTTTTGAGCAAAGATGTCCAAGGAACCACTTTCAGATTGCTGTATCTAAAAACCTATTTAAGGTAGGTCCTTCAGATTTTCAAGGGTTAAAATTGGGCAAATTTACTTGTAGAATATGGACTATAGATGTGCTTTTGATTTAGCGCATATTCTGGGGTCTTGAATTTGCTCAAAAATTCTACTCTTCAAATTTGAGGGCATCTCTGAAGGACTGTGGAAAGTGCAATATCAAAGACAGAGGTTTGATATTGAACATACACCTTCCCACACACGCTGTGCACTTTGTATTTTAAAACTGAGCCTCTGTGATGAACTCTAGAGGATATTAAGTGTAAAAAATTGAAAAAATAAATTTGGTGGCATCTTTACCATGTTATACCAAAAAAATGACAGCACCCACCAAACACAAAATAGATCGTTTTAGAAAGACTAGATGTCTGTTTTTAACATATCCAAAATGTGATGGTGTTCTGCCTTATTTTTGCAAAATGAATTTTTGAAAATGTGGTGTCCGCATACATAGAGCATTCATGGACCATGCAGAGCATTCATGGACTATGAAGGCACATTCAGAGGCTAGGAAAACAGTCTGATTTCATGACACAGCTTAAACTCAACAAAATGTTTTATTTGATTACTCAGCTATTGTAAATTATCTCAACTCTTTGAGGAAACTTTCTGATGTTTTGGTGTAACACTCCTGAATTGTATATAGGCGTCCTGTTGTAGTGCTAGGAACATCTATTTTAGAAATGATGTGTTGTAAAGGTACCCAGCACAAGTCTTCTCTCCTGGGCCAGAAGAAACTTTTTGCTGGGTCGTGTGGATGCATGAATTGTATCTGAACATCTTGCTGGGCTTTAGATGTCTCTCTGATGCTTCCCAGCCACCAATATGTAACCAGTGTAAACACAGGTTACATATTGTTCAGGTATCATGTCACTGATTTGGAAGCCCTGTGAAACCTCATCTTCTGCATGTTTTGTCTCATAGTGATCCAGCAAATCCAGTAATTTCAGACACACTGCTGACCTCAGATGTTGTTGCATTGACTGGCTTGAAACAGTGATTATCTCTGGTATCTGGCACTGTGAGTGCATTTGCAAATCTACTTTCCAGCTTGTCAGCCATGGACTTCACATGTTCATGCCATCTTTAGTTTGATTTTGACACAGCAACACCACACTCAGAACATCTCACGGCAAACATGCACACATTACTGATGACTGACTTTAACCTACCACAATGTATATATATTTTTTTAGTTCTTCCCTCACCTTCCTCTTTTTGTTGTGTCTTTGTGCAGGATCTTAACACATTTCTATTTCTATATCTAAAGAATACATATAAGCTATACATCAAGTATAGTTTATTAAGAATGAAATGAAACATTTTGTTGAGTTTAAGCTGTGTGCCATGAAATCAGAGTGTTTTCTTAGCTTCTGAAAGTGCCTTCATAGTCCATGAATGTTATGCATGTATGTGGACACATTTTCAAAAATTAATTTTGCAAAAATAAGGCAGAACACCATCACACATTTTGGATATGTTAAAAACAGACGTCTACTCTTTCTAAAACAGTCCATTTTATGTTGGTGGGTGCTGTCATTTTTAACACTTAATATCTTCTAGAGCGTTCATCACAGAGAGTCAGTTTTAAAATACAAAGTACATAGCATGTGTGGGAAGGTGTATGTTCAATAACAAACCTGTCTTTGAAATTGCACTTTCCACAGTCCTTCAAAGATGCCCTTATATTTGAAGAGTAGAATTTGCAAGCAAATTCAAGCCCCCAGGAATCTGTGAGAAACTAAAATCTATAATCTACAAGTAAATTTGCCAAATTTTAACCCTTGAAAATTTGAAGGACCAACCTTAAATTGTTTTTTTAGATACAGCAATCTGAGAGTGGCTCCTCGAAAAACTCTGCTCAAAACAGGTCAGGGGGAAATTGACAAAATATTTTTTAATGACAAAACTATTCCTATTGGAAAGTGTGTGAACCTCCTATGATTTTTTCAGTCAAATCTGAGATGGATGGGTGGGGGCATTCAGAGATTTGGCATGGAATGACCCATAGGGAAGTTTTCTACCACAGGTACTAATTTTAACCATACCTTCAATCCGTTCAAAAGTGAGCAGTACTTCACATACATGCTCAGGGTAGTCTGAAGTGCACTGGACAGCTCTGTGAAGGGCCTTGCGGCAATGAACAGTATCACCATAAGATCTAAAAACAGAAAGAGTTTTGGCTTTTAAGCATGGAAAACTAGTCATAATTTGGCCTAGCTAAATAAATGCATACCTTTCAAGATTGTAGTACTCCAGCCACATGTTGGCATATTTGGCATTTCCTTTTGTCATAATGTTATCCCAAAGCTCTCTGGCTTTTTGCATATTTTTGCAATGAAGGGCCTGAGGAAAAAATGCCGACTGTGTGTGTCTGTTTTTTATAGCTAAATTATCATATAATTTAACACTAGACTTACCTCTATCCTAGCCCAGATTTGCATTATAATGCACGAGGGATCTCCACTTTCACCAAACCCTTCAAAGTTATACATTTGAATAAATAAATGGCTCATTAACAGGAAGTTGTAAAGTTCATAGAAACAAATGTAATTTTGCCTACGTTCTTCAACATCTTGTTTCATATAGTCAAGTGACCTTGTAAAAGTTGACCGTAACTCTTCCAACTCTTTGCTAGATTCTGAAACCCCAAATACAAAGATGTTATACAGCAGTTTTACCAAGACATTTGTGACTAAGAAAAAGCTACCTTTACTGAAATCAACACGTCTTCTCAAATAGTCAAGGTATGCCTGCCAAATCTCCACATAATCAGTAGCTTGTATGAATCCTGCATTCAGGGCCTTCTCAAAAACATCTAGAAAGAAAATAAATAATATAATTACTGATATTGGTAGCTTTCAAAACTACTAAATGACTGTAAGTAAGCAGAAAGACCACCACCAAAAAAGAGAAATAAAAAAGAGAAAATAATTTTACCTAACACAGTTTGGTGATCAGCACAATGCCTCTCCAGAGCCAATATATAACCTTTCCATAAACCCATTGTCCAAGGGCAATTTCGAACAGCACGCTCATGGGTGGAAAGAACTAAGTCTTTGATCTTCAACTGGCGATCCTAATAACAAGAAAAACATTACACATTTACACTAGGATCAAACAATGGCTGCAGTCTCTTGTACTCACCAAGTATGCAGTGTATTTTGCCCACATGTCTGGAACCAGGCAGTTCTCTGCCAAAGTGCGCTCAAAAATCATTTGAATGCGTGCTGGGTCACCCTCCTTCATTTCATAGTCTATGTAAGCTTGATACTCTGCCAGCTTAGGTGGTTCTGCTACCATCTGCAGTATGTCATATGCAGCATGCTTAACTCAGTAATAAAGCAAACAAAACTATTTTACAATACATTAGGACCTGATGGTTACCAGCGCCTCTTCAAAAGCTTTACACTTCTCCATCAGCTGCAGAGCCTTTTTGTATTGAAGCTGAACTGTTTCACGGACACCATCAGCCCATTCTTCATATTCAGCATAGGTTGCTTCCATGTCTAAATAGAAGAACGAAATAACAGCCATACTGTTCAAACTATTCCAACAGTTTGTATATAATGTGCATTATATTGTTAATGTGAAAGAAAATGTTCAAATAAGCATGTTAAATGAACAAATAAGTGTTCATTAATTAGAACGAAGGTCTCACCCATTAAAGGCACAGCTAGCTGCCGACGAAACAACATGTGGATGCGCTCTAGCTGAGCGTTTAGTAACTCCTGTTCCTGATGGCTGGGTATTTTTCCAGGAGGAGGCTGGTGGCAACAGGAAAACAGAAAGCATTAAGGAACATTCTGTGTTTCTACAAGCTGAAAAGAGAATAAGACACAAACCTGTACTGTTGTCAGAATGACATTCTCAAACTCCCTGTATGCCTCCCACACCATCTGTCCTTTGGTCACGTGGAGCCCAACTGCTGTCAAAGCTCTTTCAAAAACTGCCCTCACCTTGTCAATCCCACCAGGTAATGCCATACCACCAATAGAGTACTGAGCATATTCAAGCCAAATATCTGGACCTTGGTTGGAGAACAGTATTGTCAGGTTGTTTAGAAGTCATAAATAGAGTAGTCATATTTTCTGATATGCACATACATATATAATCTTTGACAGCCCTCTCGAAGATCTCATACACTTTTTCTCTGTTTGATTCCTCTTCTGTTAAACGAATCTCATCTTTAAGCCAATCAAGCCATATCTCTGCAAGCATTATTGAGAAATAAGTTGTAGCCCACTCACTGTAGCCCACAGCATTGAAATGACTGTGTCCTTAACACATTAATACAAACCTTCAGTGAGCGGGAAAAGTTCACTCATCTTCTGCCTTGCTTTTCGCAAACGCAGAAGCTCACCTTCTTGCTTCAATAGCTTGATTAGATCCACATGGCAGTTGTAGTCAAATGCATTGATTGATAACTGGATACAAAAAAGAAAATGAACCATCATAATCATTACATTACAATGTCATTTTAATTAGATAAATATATCAAACCTACAAGGCATTGTTAAGAATGGAAAGAAAAATCTTGCATAGTTAAATGAATTGCACTACAAGACTTAACGCTAATATTTTTGGTGTTGTTTAACAGCGACGGTATCCTGGACCTTGCCTCACAACATCCACCATACAAATTACCCAGCTGAAGACGAATGGGCGCGCTGCGCAGCAGAGAAATGAGCGAGCATCATGAGCTGCACAGGAGCTCTGTTAATTACGTGGGTCGTATCAAGGATGTATTTCGCAAAGCAAGAATAGTTGCTTTTGTCGCCATGTCTCATTAAGTGCGTTGTAACTACTGTACTACTGTAGAAATGTAAAAGAAGCCGAACAAAAGGGTGTTTTGCACTGTTTAAGACCCATTCATTCAGGTTAGCCTCTGAGCTAACACAAGATAACATTAACGAGGCGTGCTCATTTATACCTGCTCCTCCAGTCGCTGGATTTCGGCCTCGTTCTCTTTCTCGTCCTCAGATGAATCAGCCTCGTCGTCTGAAGTTTCCTCTCCCATAGCCTCTTCTCCCTCCTCTTCTGAATCCATTTCTCTCTCATCAGTCCCCGCTTCGTCTCCCTCCATGTCTTGTGTTAAGTGCGTTTGCCCTGCGCTTCTTGACGCCATGTTGGAAAGTCTGCTCCGTAGTGTGTATGGTCTGCCATGGGTCTGCCTGGTAACAAGCAGCGCCCCCCGAGGACAAGCCTAGCAATGAGCCTCGACTGTTCACTGTCCGTCACACCACTAGAGGGAGCCACCAAACGGCAAAACCTCTCAGTCGACTTTGTCAACAAACATCAACAAATCCTCTATAGACCGTGTATGTCCTGCACTTGTCTCTCGTTGAATTTACCGTGCTTTTGTGATATAAACACGTAGATAATTAGATCCAACATTACATTTTTACGGTTGCAGCATGTCGGGGGCTTCGCTACGAAAGTGTATGTCGTTGCTGTTGTTTAGAGGAAAACTGTTCAGTCCAGAGCACAGTGCTTTATGTTCATACCACAAGAAAGTAAGTACATGCGCCTTATTTAGCTAATTATTTAAAAAACAATAAACAAAATCGTAATGTTTCTTAAGTTACTGTGAACTGTATACAAAATCGTAAGCACTGGCATTTTGCGGAGAGAACTGTTTTTGTTTGGTTTCATTTGTCCGCAGGTGGTTGACCACTATGAAAATCCAAGAAATGTAGGCTCTTTAGATAAGAATGCCCAGAATGTGGGCACTGGGTTGGTGGGTGCACCAGCCTGCGGTGATGTGATGAAACTACAGGTATCGAAACTACTATCACCAAAGTACATTATTTATCCATTTTACTTAAATTACATGTTGTTGTATAGATACAAGTGGATGATAATGGCAAGATTGTGGATGCAAAATTCAAGACATTTGGTTGTGGGTCAGCCATTGCGTCTAGTTCTTTAGCTACTGAGTTGGTGAAGGGGAAATCTGTAAGTTATTTTTATTTTTTTTCATTGTGAACAAAAATGTACATGCTGCCTAAATGTGATTTTATTGTATTGTATTTTATTATTTGATATTTATTTCCAAAGGTTGATGAAGCCCTCCAGATTAAGAATACAGATATTGCTAAAGAACTCTGCCTGCCCCCAGTCAAACTTCATTGCTCTAGTAAGTGTAAAGCTTTTTCTAGATACTTTTTAATATTAATATCACTATTTATTTTATTTTTTTTACATTGGCTATTGTTGTATCTAGTCCTAATTTTACTCCGTTTTGCTTTCTTTCAGTGCTTGCAGAAGATGCCATTAAAGCAGCACTATCAGACTATAGGTTAAAACAACAAGACAAGAAGTAGTAATAAAAATAGATACAATGGTGCCATGTGTGTCCAGTAATTAATATGTTTTTGTACAGCCTTTGGAAGAGAACCTTTTAAGAGATGCATTCCTGTATTTCAGTCACAACAAATGTGATTATAATGAAACTAATGCTTTATTTTTGAGGCTGAACAATAATGTATGCTAAAATAGCATTGCTTATTTAAAGATATTTATTAGTATTAAATACACTCTAAAATTTAAATTTATCATACACACACACACACACACACACAGACCAGCATATTTAGATAATTGGATCTGGAGTTCCAGTGTGTGAGTTTCTCTGTTCAAATTAAGTGTAAAATAAAACCCACACATTTCAAAGCATCACCAGTTTAAAACTTTGTTTTAATCTTTTTGTGACAATATCCATCTCATCTGCTCATGCCAGTTTGAAGTGGTGCCACTCTCTGATGACGAAGAAGTACTTTTTTCAGAACTACAAACACTGTTAGAGTTAGCATAGCCACTAGAATACACAACAAAGTGAGGAGGGCGATAATCACTGTTGAGTCTTTTAGGATGGGGGGTGGCTTTGGCTCAGCTGTGGGCCAGAGAGATTCTCTGTTTGTAGACTGAAAAGCTCGTGTCTCTTCAGTAGAAGTTTGATTAGTCTCTGAGGGCTGCCCTGTCATGTTGTCTCGACACAAGTGCCCCCTTTCAGTTTGAACAGTAGTAGTAGTTTCTAAATAGAATGGTCTCAGTGTTGGTGTTGTATTTAGCAAGATGCAGTCCTCATAGCTCAGTGTCTCTAAAGAGAAATGCCCAGGGTGTGTTCTTGTCTTGGACAGAGATGGAACAGAATCATTTACCAAATGTTCAGTAGTGACCTTGTCATTAACATTTTGGTAGGTTTTTAAAACGAACTTAGAGGCTATGTGGGAATTTAAGGTTTGTGCCCTTGCATCACTGTGCGCACTTGTTTTTGGAAGTAGAACATGAGGACAGATAGCCATAACTGAGAGTTCTAAAAGCAGACGGTGAGCAAGATGAACAGGCTCAGTGCAAAACAGGTCTGTGGCCATTTTCATGTGTCCACTCAGCAACCATCGGTAAAGATATAGAATGTCACACTCACACACCCACAGGTTGTTTGTCAGATTCACAGATCTTAGACGTGGCAAGGTGTCAAATGCATTGTCCGGAACTGAACGAAGGCAGTTACTGTTGATCTTCAAAACTTGCAGGTTAACTAGACTGGAGAGGGTCACCAGGTCAAGAGCAGAAATGCAGTTGGCTGACACATCCAGATGCATCAGAGAAGCTGGGAGATTTTGAGGTAAGATTGTTAGTTTATTTCCTTTTAAAGTCAAAACTTCCAGTTTATTAAGGCCCTGAAAAGCACTTGGTTGGATTCCACGGATCTGGTTGTACTCAAGATCTAAGCGGGTGAGGTTTCCTAAGTATCTGAGGGCCCCTGATGTGATGTATGTGATGCGGTTTTCTTGCAGCAATAGGGACTCCAGGCTGGAAGGTAGTCCACGAGGGAAACGAGACAAATGATTGTGACTCAGGCTGAGCTCATGTAGGCCCAGGAATGGCCGGAGCAAGTCATCTATGTTACAGAGCTGGTTCTTAGCCACTGAAAGAGCTGAAGTGCTCAGGGGGACTGACCGGGGGAGGGAGCGAAGACCAAGAGACTCACACAAAACTAATAATCCTGAATGAGGACAGCAGCATCCAGCAGGACAGGGGGATACCACAAGGTAAGCTAAAGGACTGATGCAGAGAACTAATAAAATGCCACATCTACACCAATGCATGGCTCACTGTAAATAAGAAGTATAAACTTTAAGAAACACCAATACTAGAAAACATATGTTAAAGATACACTTGGTAACTTTTCTGATTTGGGGACTGCCACCTGCTTGTCTCCACAAATATGTTAACACACTGGAATATTCCACAATATGGTGTATCTATCTACATAGAGGCAAGCAGGTGATTGAATAAATGCAAGACAGTTAAGTTGAATGCCATGCTATGGAACATTCCACATAAACCAATATTTCCATGGAGACAGAGAGGCGACCCCCTACCAGAAAAGTTACATAGTTTATGAAACACCAAAAGGCCACAAAAACATTCTTACCATTTTCTATTTTTATCTCATCTCCACCTCCATAGTGATGACTTATTTCCATGTGGCTCCAGTTGTATGAGAGAAGTCTTATAAGAAAACCGCCAGTGTTGAGAATTCCAGGCAGGTCATCAAAGTTTAATGATCTTCTTAAGGTACTGTTTTACCTAGGTCTGTCCTGCCTTTTCTTCAACTAGCAAAAGAACAAAATCCACAGAAATGCTAGTTAAAACAATTGAATAAAATAAGAGAAGCCATCACTAGCTTTTTTTTTTTTTTTTACACTACCTGAAAACAACTGTCCACTCAGTCAATTGTGTCATTCTGTCACCAACCAGGAAGAGTGCAAGTGAAGGGGTAGTATTTTCTCGAATTATTCAGCACCTCTTTGACAGAGAGCAGGGAATCTGACCCCAGCACCACTTTCCTCAGGGCTCATGTTTCAGACGTCACAGGCTTTCACTGGCTTGACGCTATTATGGCATCCTTCATGACTTTTGATTTCTGAATGATCTGATTTGGATTAACTGTTTGTGGACTGGTGGTTGTTACTTTACTAAGTTAAATGTTTGTTCAATTTACTGATAGTTATTGCAATAATGCTTACAATAATGCATTAGTACAATTAATTTTCATATAACTTCTAATTAACTATATAGTGATATATAAGACATTATGCATTATCAATAAGCAAGACAAGTAGAACATTACCGATAGTTATTTTGTGAAATTATGGCACCAAGAGGAGGATTGACATACCTACTTATAGGATAAAAGTGAGCTTGTTTGGAGCAAAAGTCCACTTTGTGATGACAAAAAAAGATGTTAGCTGTTATAACATCTGAACAACAACATTCAAAATGTCTTTGTTCAGAGGAAAGGCTCAGTTGAATTCAAAATCTTATTATTTTGAAATTATGTTTGTATTTTTGCAACAATAATAAAACCAGATCTTTAAGAAGATTAATACTTTATTAAACAAAACCAAAATGAAATGTGTTTTGAGAATACAAAGTGGTCATTTACAGTGGCAGCATTCGGCATTTGTAAGGACACTTGCCTGAGGTTTTAATGTCACTCAGTTAAAAATGATTAAATATTTATGACTTGATTTACATGTAAAATCCTATTTAATACATTAATATTTTATGTAAAGCAACCAATAACAAACAAAATATGTAAAAGTTTACTAAAATGTACTAAAATTGTCAAAGCATAAATTATTTTTTTTAAAAAAAAAAAGGCTTTTTCCAAGCAAAACTAATACTGGCTTTATGAAAAAAGTAAAACAGCAGGTCAGTACAATTATTTCACTCTGCTTTATTTGCAGTTGTTTAGTTTTGAGCACTCTGCTCATGAGCCTGTAACTGGCTTCATCATTGTGTCTTTAATACACTGATTTCTTTAGTGCAGGGAGATGTTTTTTTTCTCTTATCTATAGCTGAAACATGATTTACTGCTGCACTATTCTGGTTCATCCAAAACTTAGCCTCTTCATGAAACTACTGACTTGGTGTCAAAATGGGTCACTGTACCTTCTTTTATTTCTCTTCAGCTGATAGTTGTTATACTTTACTATGGTGACCCAAGTGATGGTGATTGTGCTCTAATGGTAGGCCTTCCTGAGGTGGCAGGTGCAGACAGGCTGACTGGAGATAGAGCTAGGGCTGGCTCTGTCATAGGCCATGTCCTGCCTGTATTTTCTGTCCTCCCTGGGCTGCTCCCTGGGCTGCTCTCTGGGCCGGGGTTCCTCTCGCCGTCTCTCCACCCCTTCTGTGTCTCTGGTCTTCCTCGTCTCCTGTCTGGGGGAGGATGGAACATCCCTTCCCTTCTCGCCTACCAGAGCCTTGGAGGGGACACGCAGTGTTTTGGGTGAGGCTAAGGCCTGAGAGTGAACTTTCTTGACATGATCAACAGCAAAAGGCCTCTCATAAAAATCACTTGAATTCTTTCTACCCCCCTTTTTATCTGCGGTGTACTTTTTAGGGGGGCTGGGAAGGGGCTTGTACGACTCGAGCTTCCGTTTGTGGCTCATGGCTGAGGCACAGCAGATTATGAAAACCATCACGATGAGCACAGAGGTGACGACAATGATGATGAGCAGGTTCTCCTGTAGGAAGTCGACCACCCGACTCAAGACAAAGTCTTTGAGCCGGACCATGGTGGTGGTGAGTGTGTTGGTAATGGTTTCAGTGAAGGATGGCGCCTTTGTGCTGCCGGTGACTTCAACAGGGGCTCGAGTGGAGAAGGACGTGGGGAAAATGAGCTCCAGTGCATCGTCTCCACTGCCATCCATGGAAATGTTGTAGAACATTGGGGTCGCATGGCTCTTGGTGAGTGACAACAGTGCCACAAAAAGTATGTTGAAAGCCATGTTGGTCATTTTCAGTTATGCTGTATAAAAAAAAAAAATAAAAAATTAAAAGTAAATTCCATTATAGCTCCTGAAATCACTCTTCATATCTTCTACAGTCCACAACTCCTTGTGTTATTTTGGTTTTGGTTTTCTGTTTCTTCATTTTGTATGAGAGCTATTTTAGCCACAGTGTAGCCATTACTTATTTGGGGTGGAGACAGTGAATCTGGTACTGAGGGACATATAATTTGTGAACCCGTACCAGGCCACCCATCCGCCACACCAAAGGCCAAAGAGGGAGTATACAACAGAGACGTGGGAGAGTGGCTTCTATATTTACACTAAGCACAAGCAGCACAGAGGCCACAGCAACATGGGTCTACAGACAGACGGGCATCTGTTGTAACTGATGTTCTGTGAACTTATGGTACAAATTAATGAATCATTTTTCATCTATTCTTCTTACAGTATCTAAGCACCATTGGTACTATTTAAGGCATTTCTTTAAACCACTTCTGTTGTACATACAATGTGAGATTACTAGTGTTGGTCAGATTACTTAACAAACCTAATCCGATTACTGACTCTTGATTTCTCCTTATAAAAGTATTCTAAATATTATTCTAATTATTTCATTTCAAAAGTAATTTGATTACTGATTACTATACACTCAGGAACCAACTTAAATTCTTCACACTAACTACAATTGTTATAGAATCTAGTTTTAAGCAGAGGCAACATGCACAGTCCTCCATCAACCAATATTTGCATTGTTTTGATGCACAGCTGATGTGTCTGACACCAGAAGATGACATCCAGTGCTACCTATTTGTTTTATGACATAGCTCTATGGATTACACACATACTGATTACATTACTGTGTTACTAACAAAGTAATTTTAATATAGTAATCCCTTACACCAGCTTGTCAACAGCAGGACATATGAAACTCCTTGGTTAAGTAATTCACTGCTGCATATCTGTAGTCCTATCTATAGATTCTCCATCTGTGTATGTATATGTGTGTGTGTATATGTATATATATATATATATATATATATATATATATATATAATCAATACATTGCATTTTAAACAAATCTTTCCACTCTCTATAATCACATCCTGTTTTACGATAAAAATGCTCAGTAAAGATGGCATACTGTTTAGAGGTTATATTACTTCATGTGCAAAGAGACTGAACTGATAAAAATGTTATACTTACATAAGTCTTCTGCGTGAAGTACAGAGCTGAAAATGGTGATGAGACGAGTGTTCCACTAAACGTGTGCACAGTTTTGGAGCATGTCCTACCCAAGGAGTTTCAGGTCTCACTGCAAAGTTATGGCCACCCCTCAATTTACCTCCTCTCCTCCCTCTTTACATTACATATCATCCTCCTTTTTCTACAGCCATTCATTTGGGTTGTTTAACCCTTTCGCAGGATAACTACTTGACCTCCCAGAGAAACACAGTATACACAATA